TGGTACACAATGTGACCACACTCTATTCATAACTTTAAAAAATTTTAAGTGAAAAGCTAACTTAAATGTTCTTTCCGCTTATAATCACCATTCATATTTCTACTACAGTTCAACCTAAAAACACACTGGTAACAGTTTGGTTTTATTTTATTTTTCTTAATATGCTAAATAATATTAAATCAATCTGAAATGTTTAATAGGGTGAGTAAACATTTAAAAATCTTACCATATTTAACAAAAAGGACATCATACAAAATCCCTGCAGCAGAGTTTTTGTGCCCTGACTATGGGACCTCATTGTGATTCTGTACAGTCTAGCATACTGTTACCTCTGCAAGGAACCTGAGATCTCTGAATCATTTTTATAACTCTGCATGACTCTATAAGTATCTCAAAACAAAATATTTAGCTAAGAATTCATTTTTCCCTCCTTATGTCAATGTTTTCAAAGATTACATATACATCTGAAAACCCTAAACTCAAATGACCCGTAGTTTGGAGCCGGCCAAAAGCTCAGCAGATTAAAGGGCTTGCTTAGGCAGACACAGTGGGCCAGGGTTCAATCTCCAGCCCCTGAGGAGTCACACTGACAGAGCAACTGGGACTGGGTGTGATGGTTCACACCTGTAATCCCAGCCCTTTGGGAGGCTAAACACAGGCGGATCACTGAGTCCCGATCTACGTAGTGAGACCCTGTAGACCCTTACTAAAATACAAAAAAAAAGACCACTAACTTAAAAATGATAAATTGCATTGATTTTAAAAACTTACTAGAAAACATATCTAAAACTTTTTTTTTGGGGGGGGGGCGGCTAGCTCATCCTACCCTGAGGGCAGGGCTGGCAGGTCATGTGGTGCTGGGGATGGAACCGCAGTCCCCTGCACCTGCCTAAGCTTGCCTAAGCAGGCACTTCAGACCACTGAGCAATCTCACCGACCCAACACATCTAAAAAATCTTATTTCCAAAAAATCTTTTTTTTTTGGCTCCGAATGCCTTCAAGGCATGACTGGCTGGCTTAAGTTATGGGGATCGAACCACAGCAACCTGAGCCTGACTGCTTTGTTGAAGCAGCCACTTAAAGAACTGAGCTAAGGGGCAGGCCCCCCCAAAAAAATCTTAAGGAACAAGAAGACACACTATTACAAAGTCTGATCTGAACAGGGAAAAGCTAAGCTTTACTTCTTTGTTTAAAATAACTTTTCAAACAAAAGCATGAGACATACTCAATAGATTACAGACAGCTTGCAAAACAACAAAGTAGAATTTTTGCAAAATCTCTTACTACTTGGTTTCAAAAACAAAGAAAACTTTCAGACACCATACGTATATTTAACTTATACTAAAACAACTGCAACACCATAATTTGTATCTATACACTTCATTCAAACACTTAAATCATTTCCATTCTGCTGATCTACCTTTCTTTTTGTGCAAGACCTTAGAGAACACTTCACTTTCACTCCCAGACACCTCTGCGATCCCTGGAGGATCATCCACAGAGACTGAGGGGCCAAATGAGCAGATTCAGTCTAATCACAGCATAAAGGAAATTAGCACCTGAAGGAAGAAATACCTTATAAAGGCTCCTTAAAGCAAACGACAGTAAATGTACCTCTTTCCCATAGTGACTTCTAAAATGACAGCCATCACACAAGTTATTTCTTTTACTTTAGAAATATGATAAAAATAACACCACTAACGTATTGTATGTTTTTAGGTGCAAAGAAATTGTGAAAGTGTTATATACTAGCTCTCAAAAACACTGTGAAATTGAGCAAAGAAAAAGTAATTAAAAGAAAACTGCAAATTATCAACTATAATTTTCACAAAGCAAAAGGCATGAAGTTTTACAAATGTATTCTGAAAACAAAACCTAAAACAACCTCTAATCGTTATAGCAGCTCTTCAAAAGAGAAGTCAGATCTTTAGCTCCTTATATGCCACAAATAAACAAGTATTAGGATGTATTACATACCTTCTGAAATTAGGGCAGGCTATTCAAATGTCAATGAAGTACATGAAACATATATATATATATATATTCTTAGGTACTTCCTTTAAGATAAGAGCTACAGAGAAGCTGTATCATATTTTGACATAAAATAATCACATGCCCTTTCCTCAAAATTTAAATCCACTTAGTAATTACTGAAGGTCAGTTTTTTAAACAACTTTAGACACTTAAAACCACATTCATTAAATACAAGTGTTTAAATTCAAGCTATCAATGAATAATAGCCCCAACTAAAACTACACATTTCCTACTTCAAAGAATCAAGTGTGACCACTTCTACAACATAGAAAAAGATGTGTGTGTGTGTGTGTGTGTGTGTGTGTAATCTACTGAACGGTGGCTGACAACTCCAATGCCAACCTCCTAATCCACATTTGAACTTAAAATACAAACTTGTAAAAACATCAGACTTTCTTATACCACAAATTATTCTTAATATAATTGCTAATATAAATTGTTCTAAGAACAAAAAAATATGTAAAATAGCAAGTTTCTGAAGTTTAGGTCGTTTTGTTTTTGTTTTTTTTGGTGGAACCGAGGACTGAACTCAGGCCCTTGCACTTGCCTGGGAAGTGCTTATTCCACTGAGCTATCTTCCCGGCCCCGAAGTTTAGGTCTTAACAGCCAAATACATTTTCTACAACCTAAGTTGGAATAGTATGAAACAGCAAAATCAACATTTATTTAAGGAAATACGCTAGATATCTACCAAGTATTAAACAAAATATAATTTGGAAGTTTCTATCAATAAATTCTTAGTTACAAAAATTAAAGTATACTCAAAACACTAATGAAGAATATAGTGCCCATTAAATTAAAAAAAATTTTCTTTTCCTACACCCAAAAGAAGTAAGTTTTCAAATGATTAGTTTTTTTATATTGGGATTTGGCTAAATTTCATAATATTTTTGATCAAAGATAATTCTTTACCAGTGTTCGGCCTATATAAAGTCTAAAAATATTTTTATTTTACCTATTTGAAATATCCAATAACATGCTATATTTTACTCAGTAGTTGAAATTCCAAATTAAAAATAAATCTTAATAAATTAGTTTACAACTTGAAATATAAACTTTTAAAATTTATAATAAACTAGTTACAATACCTACTTTATTTCCTGATATTTTACCTTCAGTATTTTTTTAATCAACTATCATTTTACTAAGGTACATAAAAAATAATGGTCAAAGGAATTACTGAGTTTCAGCTTACAATCTGGACAGCTGGCTTTCTTAAAATATTGTTATGTTTTTTATTTATTTATCTCTGAGCACTAAGAAATCTTTTGTTTGTTTGTTTTTTGGTCATTCTTTCAGACAGGGTCTCACTATGTGGTTCAAGTTGGCCTTGAACTCACCATGTAGCCCAGACTGCCTTCAAACTCCTGGTGATCCTCCTGCCTCAGCCTCCCAAGTGCTGCAATTATAGGTATTATTAAGGAATAAATTTGTTTTGTTTCTGTTTTGGGAATCAAGCTCAGAACTCTGCACTTGCCAGACAGGCCCCTTTTCCACTGAACTATAACTTGGACCCACTAAGGAATAAATTTAAGCTGAGAATTACAGCTTAGATTTTGTGTGTGCTTTAAATCTTTTATTTATTTGGTACAGGGTCTTACTACACAGCCTGGACTCATAGTGATCCTCCTGTCTCAGCTTCCCCAGCACTGGGATTACAGGTGTGCACCACCATGCCTGGTTCTGGGGCCAGTACAGCATGTAGTACCAGGGATCAAACCAGGGTCGTTGCACTTGCCAGGCAGACATGGAGAGTGCCAAGCTATCTCCCCAGCCTTGGAATACTTAGTTTTAAGTACTAAGTTTAAAATAAGTTAGAAAAATAAAAAAAATTAGTTTCCCCCCATTACAAGAGTAGGGGTTCTCTACCACTGAACTACATTTTGAGCTTTTTATTTTTTATTTTGAGACGGCCTGCCCAGTCTGGACTCCAACTTTCTTTCCAGCCTCCAGCCTTAGCTTCCTTTAGTGCTGAGATCACAGATGTGTACCACTATACCCAAATGTTTTAGAATGCAACACAGTGGTGATAAATACACTACAAGTACATTTAAAGGTAACATACTGTGGTATAAAAATAAGAACTCATCCCAAACATTACCCCAACAGTATGAACATGGGACAGAATACAGTAACCAAAGAAATGTCATTTAAAATAAATCTAGTCAGACACAATGACATACTCCAGTAATCCCAAAACCTGGGAGGCGGAGACAGGAAGACTGCTGTAAGTGTAGGGCCAGCCTGGGCCACATAGTGAATCATTATCTCAAAAAAAAACCAAAAAAATTTTAAAAATAAATCTAGGGGGCTGGGGAGATGGCTCAATAGAATAAGTGCTTGCCTGGCAAGCGCAAGGGCCTGAGTTCAATCCCTGGTTCTGCCAAAAATAAATAAAAACCTAAGTTTCTTTCCATTTCTAACATTTAGTCCATTAACATTTTAAATAACTATCCACAGAATTACTGATTTCTTGCAGATTTCAAAGGGAATGATCACCTTTTAAAATAAGTAAATCTTACTAGTGGTTATTTCAATTCTAACTTTCAAACACATCCAGTCAATAATACTGTCTTATCCATTTCCTGGAACCCAAAGCTTAACAATGTTAATGAGCTCTGATCTACAAGTGCTGTTTTTCTTCTAAAGACCCACCACAGGTCACAGAGCACTGCCTCATGCAACTTTTCTAATACCTTGAGATACAATGTAATCCCTTGTGCTCAAGACAATTTTCAACTTCAAAACTCACAGAAAAGAGAATTTTACATCCATTGTGAAATCCTTACAGATCTACAAATAAATGTTTAGTGCAACTGCCCCAATCTGAGGCCTTTTTGTTTCTGTTTATAATTTTAACTTGACATACTAAACAAAGGCTTGAAGACAGATATTAAAATATTTCACACTTTCAACCAAAATGTATCAGAACATCAATAAGTTTCTAGTTTCAGACAATCTCTTACCTGATCCACTGAACTGACTGCTTCCCAGCGTGGTTGGTCTGGTTTTCCCACTATTAACAGGTGGGGAAAACATCTGCAAAATAACCCATAGATATCTGTTAATCCTGAGATTTTTAGAATTTTGCAAACAAAAGGCCAAGTCCCCTCAGTTAGTTACTGTATTTCATAGGAAACCTGAAATAAAACTGGCGCTCCTCAGTCCTGCAATGACAGACAACTTACTTTCTAACACTACTTAAAAATACTAGTGACATTCTATTCTGACAAGCCAGTTACTTCAAGATTCCAAAACAATTAACTTTAAACTATTAATTTATCCACGACTCACTTTGAAATTGGGTTAGTCATGCCATCAACATTATCCACTATACAAGTTAGAATCATATTCATTAAAATTATTACACACAATAAGGATTTTAACAGCTCCCACGACAAATAAAGGCATTAGCATTACGGTTTCATTTTCCATTTTTAATTTTCCATAGTGAGAAACGTGTATATACGTGTGTCTGCAATGTAAAAAAATACACACACACACACACTGATTATGTATCTTAAAGTGCTCAGTTCAGAAGACTGGAAATGGGTAGCCCTTGAACTGGCTTTCTTGTAGTTGACATCTTTCGGGTACCACAGCCATAGTCCATCACGGGGTCGGCAATGGTGACAAGTGTTGGTGAAAAAATGACATTCTGCCTTTCATATAAAGTCTAAAAACTCTAAACACCATCAACCAAAGCTCACGATCACATTGTTGCGCTTCTAACTGCTGAAATCCAACGACCCGGCGGCGTTAAAGTTTGAAATCCGCAAGTCCGGACCCTACACCGAAGTTCGGGGGCTCGACGTGGCCAGCTGGTGCCCGGCCCGGGAAGCGGCGGGGCCCGGGGCGGAGTTCGCGCCGCTCGAGCCGGGTCGCCCGGTCGCCCGCCCGCCGCCCGCGCGCGACCCCGGAGCCCACGGCGCGCGAGGCTCCTACCGCGCTGAAGTCCAGCAGGTCGCTCAGCTCCTTGTCGGTCCCTATCGCGGCCATGCGCTGCTGCTGCGGGTTCATCTTCGGCCGCTCCTCGGGGTCCTACGGCAGAGCAGGGCGGTGAGCGAGCCCCGAGGCCCCGCGG